TTACAGTTTTATTACATTTTGCCATTAAAAAAATACCAAAACAAGTGATACAAGGGCCCCCCCTGCGATACATGAATCTTCACCTTCTCTCTTTGACCTCAACTTGCCTAGGAATGGTAAAACTCGGTCAAATTTAAATACATTTTGTAGAAATTAATGCTGCAAGGAAATGTTGCATAATTTGTCTTTTTTTAAAAGTAATTTTTGAAGAAAATAGCTGTGATACATGGGTCCCCATGGGTGATACATGGGACCCCAGGTATGGGGTCCGATGTATCAAATACATGAATTTAGTAGATTGCGCCCCTATCCAAAACCAGATGAGATACATGAACAAATTCAATTGGCCCTTTTGGAAGGAAGATTAACTCATGCTTCTGACCCAAAACATTTGATTTATGCCCATAACCAAAATTTTGACACTCAAAACAAAAAAAAAGTGATACCTGGGTCCCCACCTTCCCTTAGGAGACGGTGACAAGATTTCAAACGGCGGCAATTCAAACTGAACAGTGCACATTCGCTGATGAATCTAAGGCATCGCTGAAAGCGTTAGGCGAGCAAAGTTACAGTTGAATGTATCAAACTAGGGATGTAGCTCAGAGAGGACACATTTGACCAGTGCAGGGCAGGTAAGCATGTCAGGTCTCTTATGAATACACGTACCGCAAGGGTACTTCGAAGAAGAGCTGGACCGGAAGTTGAGAAGAAATCGAGAAAAACAAGGTGTGCGGAATGTGTAAGAATGATCATCTGCGTCGCCGTTCTGCCGCCTCAACAGAGTTATACTCTCATACAAGTCGGGCGTTTGTTCTTCTTGATTTCTTCTCAACTTCCGGTCCGGCTCTTCTCCGAAGTAAATGATGCGGACGTTCCAGGTTATTTTAACGAATCCGTGTACCGGAAGTCAAAGAATTAAAGTGAGATCAAGGGACAGGTATGGTATAGTTTTGGGACACGCTTTAACAATGGAACAGCTCACACGAAATTACTATGAAGGTTTTACTGCGCGCAAATGCACGAAATTGAACATGCAATTCGTAACGCACGAATTGGTGCGCGAAAACGCACGATTTTCTGCATGCTTGCGCACGAAATCGTGCATTGTTGCGCACAAATTCGTGCGTTACGAAGTGCATGCTTAATTTCGTGCATTGTTGTGCGCAGTAAAACTTACATAGTAATTTAGTGTGCTGAGTTTTTGATAAGCTTTGACATTAAGATCTCCAACCGTGCCAAATGTAATATTTTTTATCCTGAATATAACATTTAATATGCCTTGAACTTTATTTCGCTCAAGAGCCAGCTGTTCCAGCTTTACTCCGTGTCTCAAAATTACCCCTATTGACTTAAGACTGCGTGATTGGTAGCTCCTAGCGCTAGTGGCAGAACAGTGGCCACACCACACAACAGGGTACTTGGGTTAAGATTCAGTAAGAATCGGAAAAATCGACGTCTATAGACTAAATTACTATGTAGGTTTTTCTGCGAGCCAATGCACGAAATTAAACATGCACTTCGTAACGCACGAATTTCTGCGTGACAATGCACGATTTCGTGCGCAAGTATGCAGAAAATCGTGCATTGTCGTGCTGAAATTCGTGCGTTACGAAGTGCATGTTTAATTTTGTGCAATTGGCGCGCAGAAAACCTACCTAATAATTTGCTTCCTACCACACACCCAAGGGGCCTTTTTTGTATGCACATCTGATGGTGATTAAAATTTGTGTCATCCAGGTGGGGCAATGTGTCCAAAGAAAATACAGTTTATAGTTGGCGTCCGACTAAATATTTCGCCAGGCGGGAACTTAATAGTATCGCCTTCGGATGTGCTTAAAATTGCACAAGTCGTAGGCCATTAAAAAATGTTTCACGATATTTAGTGTGCAGGCACCATGTAATCTGAAAACAGTATGGTTCTTTTCAGGGCAGAATTCAAATGAATATTTCAGTCCCGGCCCACCACTCGCATGTGTTAGCGTTGATATTTTTTCAGCTATGAAGAACGAAAAGAATGCGTGCATAGACCTTTCCGCGCTAAGCAACTTGAGCAATATACCCGAATCTTTGTGCCGCCACACTATAAGACCCAACTCATTTGCAGCGAAACGGAAGCGCAGTGAACTCGGTAAGAAGGAAAGTTCGTTTTGTTTTTCGAGTTTCGGTAAATTTTATTCATTCACGCTCCATTCATTGTCCAGGTAATATGAATTTCAAAGTCTAAAAAAGCCCTGCGAACGCATACGTCTTGCGGTTGAACAAAGTTAGTTCGTGCACTGGCGTGTGCAAGACTTGCAAATGCTGGCTGAAGTAAGGAGTGGAACTCTACAAAGTATTACAATAATGGAAGCTATCAATTTTTTATCCTACATGAACCTAATTAATCAACCGCAAGTTTCCTGAACGACCCTTCGACCCCGTAGGCAGCAACTGTTGTGTTCGGTCTTCGCTGTTCGTCGCTCTTCATCCATGCCCTAGACTCGAACCATTCTCTGCAGCCGCATATCAAGTCCATTGTTGAATCTGAAAAAATAAAATAAATAAACCGTGCTATTACTTACTTGCACTGGTAAAACAAAGGCATAAAAATTACGCCCTTTAAGGCATAAATACTCTTTTACGCCCTTGCAAGGGCATAAATCGTTTTATGCCCTTGGGAAGGGCGTAAATGGTATAGGAATTTCAAGCAAAATTTTAATGCCCTTCCCAAAGGCATAACGATTTATGCCCTTGCAAGGGCGTAAATCGTTTACGCCCTTTAAGGGCATAATTTTTATGCCTTTGTTTCACCAGTGTGCCGATTCCTTCGCACTCTGGAAACTGAACCGTGTGTAGGGCACAATGCACCTGGAGCGTGCTTGCATGCACTCTCCATCGAGCGATGTGCCTGGAAGCACACTGCTTAGCTTGAGCCTGGGATGCACGCAGCATGTGACTGACTAAGACTGCATGCTGCTAGGCACATTATGCTTAGGGATATAATTCGTGCCATGCACACTATTCAGTAGGGAATTTTTCAGAAAACACTTATTTCTCACCGGACAATTCCTCCATTGAGATTGCACTAGTACCACCAAATGATTTTGGCAGATATTCTGGCGGGACCGCATCGTGAAGGGACTCCAAATTATCGTGTATAAAGATCTGAAAAATAGGACGATCAAATACATAATTATTTGCATAGACTTCTTGTTGATGTTACGTATTTTATTACAAATCCAAAATGGTCTTACCCTCTGAGCGAGCTTGTCTTTCAACATCGGAGTTATCATGTTCAAGCACGTTCTCAGTATACTAGGAGCAATTGCATTTACAACGTGGACTGCTTGGATTCTCGTTGGCATGGTATCCTGGAACAAAGAATGTGTGCACAATTCAATATAAAGAAAGAGATTTTCGCATGCCATTCCTTGCCATGCCTTTCCGTATGCAAAGCAGCGTTGGAAGTTTATTCCATCGTCTGGCCCGGCCCACGGCCTGTTACCTGCAAACAGCTTAGGAATTTCCGCACTTTTCCTATGGAGGCGAGAAAGTTGGTAACCCAGTCGACGCTCAGAGACTCAACGTCTATGACGTAGACAAGTCCTCGGGCCTTCCTATCCACTGCTAGCGTCAGCTCAAATAGCATCACTCCTATTTGGTAGCGTTTGCCGAAGTCAAAGTGAGACCAGTCCCGGTCGCAGGAAGGGATAAGTTTCTCCACGAACAGAATGTTGCCTCCAGGGAGTATCTTGGGTATAATTCCTAGGTGCCTGTCAGAAAATTAATACGTTAGTCGGAGAAGACAGAAATACACTGGTAGAAAAAAGTACGGGACGTGTCTGGTCAATTTTCTACCTGGACCGTCCGTATACATAGAGTCCATAAGCATTTAGAGTGAATACGTACAATGCGATATCCATATTGCACTTGATTCGCTCCATACGTCATTTTTTGTTAACCTCTGCCCGTGAAACTTCTACTATTCAAATTCAGCCCGAGTTGCAAGCGGCAAGCGGGTTGCCTACCTGCCTCTTACACATGCACCAAGCCAAGGCAAGAACACTCTCATCCTTCAATCGACATTTTATCAATATTCATAGACATGTGTGCGTAATAGAATTTCGTTAAGATGCTTTAGCAGTTTTGCTAAGACTAAATCTATAATTTTGGTTCTAAAACAAACGAAAATGTTAATACGCTTATTAACGCGCACAAACGTCTAACGTTTTCTACCAACATAATCAGCACGAGTCTGAGAGTGCAAAAGTGCTGTAAATTCGGACAGAGACGGGCCAATAAGTTGAAATTTTGCGATTGGGCAAGGTTTGAGCTGTAGATACTTGCTTAAAAATTTCTGAAGCATATCTGGCTGTTACGCCTGTCCTAGAGTTACAATCGTTGTAGAAATGTGGGACTTATGGGCGTGGGGAACACACTCAGATTTGTACTGAGTTTTTGTTTAAGGGGGGACCCTGGTGAAACTTTCAAGTAGGCTTCTAAATAATCCCAGGAAGTTAAAACTTTGCTTAATTATTAGGTTCATTATGGTGAGTTCCCTAAACAAAATTCAATCCAAAATGTTGAACGGTCTCTGAGAAAGGTGGCTTTTTAGTGTTTTTTGGAGCGTTGGGGAAAAATCTTCCTGCGTCTTTCATTGGGACGGAAAGTCTTGAAAATTTTTTTGGGTTATCCTAAAGATGTATAGAAGAGATTTTAATGACGGAATTTTCAAATTCAACTTCTGTCCTGAGATATGAGTTTTCATATTTTAACATTTAAAAAAAAGGGATTTTTTTCCCTTTTTTCAAACTTTTAGGTGTGTTTAAAAAAAAAGTAGGGCTGATATCAAGATTCCGTCACTAAAATTTGTCGACAAGTCATCAATGAATACAGTCAATGCAAGACGACTCATGTAGGTGTCAACCAGGAACGCAGGAAGTCTTTCTACGACAAAATTTTTTGTCGACTGAGCAAAGCTGTGAAGTTGAGCGTAGAAGCCAACGTCATCTGATCTCAATGTTATTTCCTTCCAAATGATAAAGAAACTACCCACTTAGCTTGAAGGTGTTCAACCTGTTGAATCTGAAACCTTCTATGCACATTTTTATCTATGAACTTTGAAAATACTATTTATTGGAATTTTGGCGATTTTTTCACCAGGGTCCCCCCTTAATAACGCATTGACGTTTGTGCGCATTAATAGGCGCACTAACATTTTTGTTTGTTTTACAAACATTATTATAAATTTCGTCTTATTCTTAACAAAACTCTATTGCGCACCAACGTCAATGAATATTGATAAAATATGTCGATTGAAGGATGAGAGTGAAGTCATGCCAAGAAACGACACGAAAAAGAAGTCTCATCGGAAATAGACATGACTTCTGAGTCAACACGCTGATTTTGGCGTGGCACTTTATTCATGCCCTTGAAGTGATACATTTTCAGTGCGTGAGTCTCAGTCTAAGATATTTTGCTCGGCAAAATTTGTCGATCGATGACTTACATGAATCGTCCCACGTAGCGTAGTTGTTCTTCTTCTGATTGTGGTAAGACAAACCAGTCCTCAAGGAGATTGCGGGTTTTGAAGTAGTTATCCAAACGGAGCTTGGCTTTCTCCATTGAATTTTTTGAGCCCACCATAAACTTCTCGAGCCACTTGTGATGTTCACCTTTACAAAAAAAGGAAGGCACATGATAATTTGATGCACTTGTATCACTTTGATGCGCTGCAAGGGTTGTCACAGAGAAACATTTCTAATTGTAGCTTCGCTTGTTTTTAAGTTGCTTTCTCAAATTTTGCCTTTTTTCGGTTGCACATACTCGCGTAAAATCCTGCACACACCAGCCCACTCTACAAAAAATGTCCGGCACGCCTTAATGTGGCATACGAACTTTTGTGGTTTAAAATTTTTCCTGTCTTCTTCCTCTTTGCGACTGTCTGAATATGTGTGTGTGTGAGGTGAATCCTCCAAGAAACGACCGAAAGAAGTCTCCGGAGATGTTCTGACAATTGGCTGATCTTGGCGTGGCACATTCACCCTTGGTAAGGTGTTTTTAGCAGAAAGAAGTCAGTTAAATAATTTCTCGGCGAAAATTGATATTTTTGAGCTCGGCGTCTGCGCCCTGACTGAAAATCGCGAGCCGGTTGAAAACGACCCAAGCAATCGAGCATTGGAGACTGAAGAACCCTTCTGAGCCATTGAGCCCCCTTAGACCCGTGGACAATTGAATGTGAGTTTGGGGCTTGGCGCCAAAGGGGCTAGGTCGGGCCAATACGCTCATGGGGTTGGGTACCAAGCGATGTCAACATCTCAACCTGTCGACAAGGTCGGGGCTAACACCTAGGGCGGTGTTCATTCCTGTTTGCAATTTGTCGATCGATGACTTCTGAATCGCCCCACGGCGTGTTGTTCTTCTTCGAGGGGTAACAAACCAGTCCTCAAGTTGCGGTTTTGAAGTAGCCAAACGGAGCTTGGCTTTCTCAGATTTTTGGCCACAACTTCTCAGCCATTTGTGATGTCACAAAAAAACAAGGCACAGATCAAGATGCAGTATCACTTTGATAAGGTTGTCACAGAGAAAATTTTGTAGCTTCTTTTTAACGGCTTTCTCAATTCTTTTGGTTGCATACTGCTACCTCCCAAAGCCTAATACGCGTAAATTACATTCTGGGGTCCAATGCGCCAAAATCGTAATTAGCGCTTGATTGTGCCATACTAGGTCATATTTTTAATGCTTTTGTTTTGAGCATTGTTCAAGGGTCAACTTACATGTGAGAGTTGGGAGATGTGGTTGGGCATTGCACCACTCTCTTAGTGTCACTGCATCTCTCGACAGAGACTCGGGCGTGGCTCCGATCTCGTTCAGTAGGTCCTTATAATCCTCGGGGGTCATCTCCCCGTCGAAAGGCACAACCACGTCAATTTGTACTGCGTTCGGCATCTTCACCTCTGCTTCTGATACAAAAAGACAAAAAAGAGTTAGCAGTGTCATAACAGAAAAAGGCTGCAATGTGACTCGGCAACTGTGGGAATAAAAATGTCTGAAAAGTTTCCGGGAAGATAAAAACAGTAAATTTTTTTTGTTTATTTTCATGGCCATAAAACTATTCGAAAGGTATCCTGAAAGTTCGCAAAAAGCCCACCCTGTCTCTTGTATTTAGGCCAGACGCATCTCTACATTATAAAGACGCTTCTCCGTGCACTCATTGAAAAAAAATTCCCGAAAGAATATTTGTTAAGTCTTCGAAAATTCTTTGAGACCAGGCGCGGTTTCAAACAGAGAGCGACGAGGCGATATAACCCCCTCCCCCCAATCAGATTCCATAAAAGCCCGACAAAAACCCGTGCTCCTGTAGAGAGGAAAAATTTGTAAGTTACAATCGCCCTCCCTGTCGGAGGCCCTCAAACCGCGCCTGTTGGCCAGCACGTAGCTGTCGAAGGCTCTTCGTAACTTTTTAACAAAACCTTTGGTATATAAATTTTCCTTGCGGAAATTTCGCTAAGTGGATTCCTTATGTATTTCTTATTGTGTCGTCAATTTAGGCGGTGTCTCACCGCATCCCAGTTTTTGTTTGGACAGCGTCTCTGCTCCACGGCGCTCGCAACTAGTTTGGTCAAGGTCAGATCAGCTGAGCCGCTCGCCTGGTTTTGGGGGCCCGCACAAGCACCGCCGCGCGGCTTGGGAAGCGGAGTCCCGTGCCACGCCCCCAGTCGCGTCGTTTCGCCCGGAGTTCCGCGTTCACACCAAATGTTTAGGTAAAATTTTGTACGTGCAACTTGCACGATTTTGCGCATACACTGCGAGAAAATAATACGGGAAAAGTACGGAACGTGTCTGGTCAATAATTTGCCTGGACCGTCCGTATCTGTCCTACTACGGAACTTCCGTACCTTTTTTCCGTACCCGATTACATGAGTTCTTATGGGACAAGTACGGACGTGCCGTACTTTATTCCGTACTTCCGTATCATTTTCCTCTGTACATTTTCCGTACAAAACTACGGTATGTTTTACAGTGTACGTGGAATTTGCATGATATCATGCGTTAAAGATGCATAAATTTATGCATGTTCACGCACAATTTTATGCACGACGGTGCACAACGAGGGGGTATGCGCTCTCTGAACCTGTGTACCGACTATTACGCTATTACGCTCCATTACGCCACAAATTAATCGGAATCTAGCTAAAAACGGCCTAAAACACACCAAAATTGATAAAATTTTGTCAATTTCGGCTATTACGCGACTATTACGCGTATTATTACGCGTGCTATTACAGATAGAGTGAACCGACTATTACGCGAGTGCATACCCCCTCGGTGCACAAGTTTAGGATCGCTTGCATGCACAATTTAAAGTGGGACAAAATGCTCCATGCACTAATGGTTTTGTACTACTTAAGTGTAACAACATTTTTATCTTGGGTCATAACTCCAATAAAAATAGAAGCTTCTATTTTGATATGCTCAGGCTGGCCTAACAAACACTCAAAAGTTTCCCGTTTCATTGCAAGTCCCGAAAATCGGGACCTTGCTTGTCGTCGCCCAATACCACTCAGCTCGAGGAAGGCAGGGGGGAGGGTGGGGAGAGAGAGAGAGAGAGAGAGAGAGAGAGAGAGAGAGGAGCGAAGAAGAGAAAGAGTGGGCTGCGGCTGCGGCGTCTCGGTCTAGGGTCAGTTGGGTTAAGTATAGGACAAGGGGTCAAAATGGGACAGCTGATTCTTAGTGAAGATTTGACATTTTTGAACGCATGACATACCAAATGTTATGTTTTCATTGTGAAAATAACATTTGCTACGGCACAAGCTCCAAAATCTCCATTTTTGACTCAGAATCAGCTGTCCCATAATTACCCCAGCTGACCCCACCGCGCGGCACAATGCTCGCGTCAGTAAGTTGTCGATTAAGACGTTATTTGTACCGACAAATTATTTGCTGACGATATCAATGCACCAAAACGTCAATACGTTTCTTATGAATCAAACGGGTCTGAGAGAGGGTATGTAAATTTAAATGCGACGTATCAGTAGTGCAAATGAACTTTTTGTACTATTTTTCTACTTGAAAAATGAACATACTACACTTTTGTGCTAAAATGCGCAAAAAATCGGACACTCAAAAATTCCTCTGCAAATCCGGTGGCAAGTTGGTGTGCCACAAAAATTGGCAAGCCAGTCCCCAAAATACTGCAATTTTGGCATTTGGCCGGCGAGCCAAATACGGGCAAGGTAACGGGGATTTCAGATGAAGGCTTGCCAAATTTTGGCATTATAAACGGCTTGCCAATTTTGTGGCAAGTAAACTTGCTACCGGACCTACAGTGTCGTACGGATAGTTATCCGTGCAAAAAAACTGTAGCACTTCGTGCAAAACTTGCTGAACAACATTTTGTGCGCAGGTACCCGTTGAACAAGCTGCGTCCTACGCTTCTAGGTAGGCGTAGGACACAGTGTAGTCCGGAGTGGCCGACACTTGCAACACGATAGGTTCACACTTACAAGTGTAGGACATAACAGTCTACGCCTGCAAATGTGTACTTAAGAGTGTACAGCAGCTCTGAGTGTACGGACACTAGTTACCTTTGGTATTGGTAGATGCTTACTCTGCAGGGCCTGGAAGGACTGTTGTCCTCGTACCGAAGGACCCAGGCCGTCGGTTAGAGCTCGGTCAGACTAGCACTAGATGTGAATCCTCCGACAGTGAGACAGACAATGCGACTTTGTGTTGGTGGACTGAGACACTGGCCTGTAGATCTCTCCCCCCCCCCCTCCTTTCCCCCTTTCTTCCCGCTCCGCTCCCGTCTTCCCAGCGGCAGTTGTAGTGGAACCGGTTTCGCTGCTCATGCGGCGCATGCGGTACAGTCCCCACCGCTAGACGAAACTCAGTATTTTCCACTAGCAATTAGGAAAGGAGTGGGACTTTACATTACCTTTCAGGTTTAGCATTTTATGTTCAAACTGTTTGCGCCGAAAGGCAAAACAAAGTCCCGAGCACGTCCCGGTGGTCCCTGCCGGACGTCCATAGGACTACACTGTAAATGTCTTACAATGAAATTTGACCTATGTTATTCGTATGTTACAGTGAATTCGGCGCAAGCATAATACGAAGCAATATTCCTTCGTAATACGAAGAAAAACCACCCTTTTATGCTTGCGCCATTTCCTTCGTATGATGGGAAATTTCTTCGTAAGACATTTAGAGTGTATGTTTTGTTGACATGATTGACGGAGTGTAGGCAGTAGTAAATTAGGAAGTGTTTATTTTGACGCCGGCGCCCCGATCCCCAAAAGAACCCTACATGCCCTTCTTGCTGTATCCGTTGCCGAAATCCTCCTCAACCCCATGTAAACCATGATGCATCATGCATCTGCAGCAGCGCCCCCGGCCGAGGCTCGGATCGGATTTGCACTCTCAACATCTTATGATCGTTTTTATACGTATTACAATGGTTTTTCATCGTAAGGTATGCATAAATTTGCACATACGTAATATGCATATATTTCAGCGTAAGGTATGCATGATTTCATCGTATTACGCATGGTTTCTACATAAGGTATGCATGATTTCATCGTATTACGCATGAATTTCATTGTAGTACGTATGTTCTCATTTCAACGTAAGTTATGATGACCCTTTCATCATAAGAATCTGAGGGTGTGCTGCCACCGGGCAGCTGGGGTCGCCCAAGGAGGCTGCATACCAAATTTGGTGAAGATCGGATCACGCTAAGTCCTTGGACGGACGGCCGCACAGCACACCATGCATCATATTACATATACAATTTTATAGGTGGTGAGGCATGATTTGAAACCTGCGTAACGTCATGCGTAAAATTACACCGGTAAAACTGAAGCGTGTATGCTTGATTCAAGCATACAACTACGCTTGAAGACTTTACGCTTGACGTCAAGCGTAGAGAAGAAATTCTCCCATGCATTTAGGTAGGCGGGAGAGGGGCAAAATGGAAAACTATGCTTGAGGCCGAGCGTAGTTCTACTACGCTTGAAGAAAGGCGTAAAACTACGCTTGAGCTCTATCAGTGTAGGCTCAAATGTGCACAATGTATGCATTTTTACGCGTAATATTGTGCAAATTTCACGCGTGCGCAAAACTGTCCAAGTGATACGTACAAAATTCTACATAATATTAAGTGTGCAGTTTTCCGCGATTCTGTACCAAAGAACGGAATCTTAAGTAGTGGAGCGGAAGGCTGGTGGGCAGAGGACGGCACGACGCACACATCATTGTGTGGTCTAGCCCGTAATGGTAATGGTATGGTCAATCAGCCTAGGAGGTAGGCAGCCACGCGGGTCTGCCTGCTGGGCGGGCTGGCCTATCCGGCACTTCGCAGGCGCTCGGCCGCAGAGTATTCACATTCACATCCGTCTTAGCCGTATTAATAGTTCTCGTTAGTAAGGTTGATTTCTGTGTAGAAATAACTTGTCTTTTTTAGTTGGTGGCAATTTCGAAAAAAAAAATTAACTGCGATACGAGAAATGCTTCTTTGATAAAAGCCAGACATCGCTTTGCGAACTTGCGAAAAACAAAAGGCAGGACCAACTTTCTGACATCAAAACTAAGACGCGAGGAAACTTACACGTAAAACATAGTGTTCGGGTTTCCCAGGTGCACCCTGGGAAAACAGGTCATTTTTCCAGGGTAGGCCTGGAAAACCCGGACACTGTTTTTGACGTCGCAATTTGTTTTTAACTTTCTGGACTACAGTTGGCCCAAAATTTTTACATTTTGGCTCAGATAGTTAAAAGTAAGTTTTAACTTTTAAAAAAACTTAGTTTGGGATGACGTTTTTATGGAAAATTCATTTAGTAAAGTCGTATTGAGAAGTATTGCTTCGTATTATGCTTGCACTGAATTCACAGTAGCTCAAATTTAATCGAGGCTTTCAGTGTAACTAAAGCAAAGAGGACTTAAATTTTCTGGAACTTGGAGAAATTGAAATGTTACAGTTTATTCTACACTTTTTTTTTCACGGGTCGAAAACGGAACGAAAAACTGTTTTGTTAGTAGGCGCTGGCTGTCCTACAGCTTGGGGACCGTGTCCCCGAAGACTCGCACGCACGCCACGTTCTCCTTGGTGTTGGTGCGGAGCATTCGCAGTGTGATGCGCCACTTGCCGTAGAAGAAGACGGGCATGCCCTTGATGTCGAAGTCAGTCGTGACGTTGCGTATGACGTAAGTGCCCTGCGCAAAGCACTGCTAGAAAAAACCACAACAAAAGTACACAAACTTTTGGCAAATTTTCTTTATCAGGAATTTATTGTACTTTCAAAGTACAACAATTGTTGTGCAAAGTACAATGGAACCGGCGTAAGGTGTGCTGTGCAGTCCAGGCCTTGTTGTGGTTTGTACAATTCTCGTTGTACTTTCTACAATCCCTGGTGTACTTTTATTGTACAGTTTTTGCTGTACATTTGTTGTACCATTTACAATTTTTCTTGCAGTGAGGCGAGGCATTAATGTGCTGATTTCAAACGATGCAATTGTGTCGAAATCGTTACATATCGCTAACCACACCCGAGTTAGGTACTAACGTAGTAAGAGAGACTCAGTTGAAGCGACCCGCTCGAGAAAGGCTCAGTTAGGAACTCTCGTGTACATTTTGTCAGAATGTCGGAAACATGTCGTAAATCCTGATCAAATTCGCGCATCTCTGACAGGCGCGAATACAGGGGCGATGGGTTTTTTCCTCCCCGCCCCCTAGCCCCTAGCCTTTAGATAGCCGCCTAAAGGGTACGCAAAAAGTGCTACCCCCCCCCCTATAGGTCGCCTCTGGATCCGCCACTGATCTCTGAAAGCGAAGATTCTGAAAACTTATGCTGATATTGATGACCCGAGTTCCACATAATGCTAGAAAAAAGTTTTCAGCTTTCAGAGGTGCGACCAGAATTTCTGACAAGTTTCTGCCATTCTGACAAAATTGACACGAGTGAATCCAGCAGCAACTGGCTGAACGGACCGCTAAAACTGAGTCTCTTCTCAGCACAGTGGGTCTGGCACTGCCGCGCGCCCAGCAAACGACTCCATTACGAGTCAAAAGGTCACACTTAGCGCCACTTGATCGGTAAGACGAAAAAATTTGACAAGTTTCGATCCGACATGGAAGTCTCGCCAAAAGGGACAAAAATTAAGTCCCCAATAAAGCAGTACTTTTCACTTATTTTCCTTATTTTCCTCGTAATTTCATCTAGCCCCAAATAGGCACTTCAAAATTACTTACCGGTGGGAAGGGGCAGAAGGCGTTCGGGTCATCGTAAATACCAACCATGATCTTGCGCCACAGAATTGGCAGTAAGTTCCTGAAGGAAGTGCAGAACTTAGGGAAGCTGGCTACGTAGGCGTTGTCCTTCCATCCCCCCCTCGCACTCCATGATGCGGCGTTCACGTCCAACTGGTTTTCAACTTGACATTCGTTAAGGGGCAATGTACTGAATCAATCGAAAGCTGACCCATGCGACTGCCTCAAGCCGTGGTGTACTAGCTTTCTATGTGTTTCTCTGCCTCATTGGTGTTCAAGGCGGCTCTGGCAGTGCGCAGCCCTCTTTAAAACTGCAGATCTTCAAGAAACCTACCTGATTACTTAATATTGTCTTTACCATACCTAATTTTACAAAGGAAATCAGTCATACTTTAAAAATACTACGTATTTTCCTGGCTAAAAAAACGAATACGCAATTACTCTATGAAAAGTCAGTTATGTGCTGCACACTAAATTACTAGGTAGTTTTTTGTGCATAAGCTGTGCATTCGTGCCTAGCTATGCACAAAAAACTACACAGAAGTTTGGTGTGTGAGGGTGTTGTCTCAAACGAGTCGGTCGTCTTACCGTGTGAGAGTCGTCGAACGTGAAGGCGTACGTCAAATTCGCCGTGTAGTACCACAAGTTCACGTTCTTACGATCGCGAACGCCGTGAGTGTAAAAGACGACGGGGACTGCGGGCAGGAGCTCGGGAGGACATTGCTCAATGTGACCCGGAATGATTCGAAAGGGGCCCTAGGCGGAATGGAAGAAACAAGGGCTGCAAGCGCACTGTAAACACAAAGACTCTGAGCAAAGCACTTCAAGTGCTGTATCTGGTAAAAATTACACCTTTTATTTTTAAAGTCGTCGGGGTGTGGACCTTCGGCAATTCGAATTTCAAATCCGACATCGAGTTCCTAAATTCGAATTTGACGTTGCTTCACATGTTTTCGAGTGTGCTGATGGTGAAAATGACATCTACTTTGACGACGGACCAGTACACACGAAATGTATTTGTACGATTCATATACTTTTGAGCGTGGTTTTCATACAATTTTAAACATGCAAACATGCGTACAAATTTGCACGAGAAGCACAAACGCGAAAAACTGTGTGAGACCACGTGCAAAAATTGTACACAGGAATTAAGTGTGTGACCCCGACCGAGTATCGGATGTAATTGGGGTGTAGTTCAGATATATTTCGCGAATGTTTGAAGTCTACGGGAAGGCACAAAGCTGACGATATATATCGCCGTTTTGCCTGTCACTACAGTGTATTTTGAACACACACACAGACACACCCGAAAAAAAATCCAAATTTTTAAACTGTCTCTTAAGAGACAGTTAACAAACGAGTTTTGTCTTACGCTCCTAAGATCCTCTTGTTAGGCTTGCGAGTATCGCACTGCAGGAAATAACCACAACAAAAGTACACAAAGTTCTGGCAAATTTTTTATCAGGAATTTAGTGTACCTTTCAAGTACAACAATTGTTGTACAAAGTACAATGGAACCGGCATGACGAGTGCTGTGCCGTCCGAGGCTCGTATGGTTTGTACAATTCTCGTTGTACTTTCTACAATCCCTGTTGTACTTTCATTGTACAGTTTTTGTTGTACTTTTGTTGTACTATCTACACTTTTTCTTGCAGTGCGTATAAATTGTGACAGATTGCTACCCACGCACTGCGGTCGTTCCTTACTGCCTGCGTGTTGATCCTACTCCCAGATCGGCACAGCTTCAAGGACAGAGTGGACATCGTGAACAACACTAAAAAGAAACGTGGACCGACGCGCAGACCTGCAAATGCCGACAGTTATTGTAAACTACTTGAACAGAGACTTGACCAAAAGAATCGCTTTCCTACCTGGAACATCGTACAACAAAACGCAAAATATTTTATGTCATGGGACACAACTCAAAACCTTCCTTGCTGGTTCATCTTTAATTTTTTTTTTTTCAAAAATCAAATTGCCGCGTCCTCTCAGAAAAAAATTCCTAATTTTCACATGTCTTTGGGTTGAGGAGAACCCCGAACCAAAGTTCGGTTTGATTTGGACAACCTTTGTCGAAAACTCTGCTTTTCCCACATAGACAGCGTCTAATACTTCATATCGTTTTCAATATTTGCGAAAGTCTGTGTAGCTCTGAGTTGATAATTTCGCTGCAATTTCGATAAGGAAACTTCAGTATGTTATGTTTTTCAAGGCAGTCAAAAAATCTAAGGACAGTATTCGATGAGCCTGCGTTTGTTGGTGCTTTTCGGCCCTGAAGGCGTTAAAATCAAGATGCCTTGACGTTTACTCCGGTGAGTAATCGCTTGTACGTAGACGACCGGGGATGGTCACTTTTACACGTCCCTGACGTAACATTGCCTCTAAATCGCTTTAATTATCTCTACTAATCTTTCGGTCTACCAAACAGACGATGAACGGACTACCCAAACCTTAGATTTATATTGAAACTGCTGAATACTGCTGCCCTGGACTGTGGGCAAATGGATTCTAACGCCCCTCTTCACTCCCGTGATCGCAGGAAATCGTGAAATCCGAACAGAAACAAACATTCAAAGGGGGTTTCTTGGACTCAATTATGTCCAGTTTACGTCGTTTCTGTAGTGAATACGCGTTCCAAGGGATTCACGAGCGAATTAAGGGAAAGTGCCGCACGTGCCACGCTCGGCGCGGCGAAACCTTGTATCAGGCCCAGGAGTTGCTACCCGCTATGTCCTTGGCTTTGCCACACGCAACAACTTAGTTTTTCACTACACTCTCAGCACGTAATTGACTCTTTGCTCATTTTGTCAGTACTTATGCAAGTAATTTGTGCAACCATAATACGTACTTTTCCTTTTTTAAAGAACTACTTAGGAAATATTAAATAATGTACTGAGAATTTTGTTTTGAACATAATTTTACAAAGGAAATTAGTCATACTTACTTAGAAAATACTAAGCATTATTGCTGTTTACACAAATATGTAATTAATGAGGAAAAAGTCAGTAACGCGCTGAGAGTGTACAATCAGGACAAATGGTTCGACCGGAAACCACTTATAAAACTGGAACTTTTAAAAATTGAGGATTCGACTTTGCTCAAGCGAAAAACAGACTGCAAAGCACTATGAAACAAATTTGAACATAAAAAGATAACGACAGGAGCGTTAAGACAGCTTAGCAGTTAACGAAAACATGTCCGACATTTCTATGCGTTACAGACGTTATACGTGAGTAAAACATGCGTTACATGGGCAGGTAGGGTTCCATAAACACAGCACTTTCAGCATGATGCAAATTTCTTCGAACTTTTCTGTGATGATCTTCGCCATAACGTGTAATTAGCTGCTGTATCGAAGAACTTCACAATTTTCATAGTAAAAGTCTGTGGTTTATATGTCCCGATTTTTGTGGCAGAAATGTGCAACGACCATTGCGGCATTAATAGAAACCAAAAATCACTGCCCCTGAAAAGCAATGATTCTTGCACACTAAATGTTATGTACAATTTTGTGCGAGATATCACAGTTTTTTGTGCACACGAAATTTTCGTACAATTTTCGTACGAAAAACTGCACATGTTTCGCTATTTCTGAACAAAATTGTACAAAATGTTGTACAAATTTGTACGAAAAGTTCGTGTGCACAAAACGCTGTGATGTCTCGTACAAAATTTGTACCAAAACATTTAGTGTGTGGGAATCACACTTTGGTTATAATTGTGACGAAAGTGTATCAAGAAAGTGTCAAATTTTGACAGACTCTCTGAACTTGAAATGTTGAGGTTCAATGGCCTTTGATTTTAATTTTCGTGACAGAATTCCACCAGGGAGGCGGTAGCAGACTTTCGAAAAATAGTCAAAACGAACCCATTGACACGAAGGCTCGCTGAAGGCAGCGCCGCTGGCCAAGGTATATCCTGAACAGAAGTGGCAAGCCCTGTGAGAACTCACGCACATGGTGTTGCCCACACGGAAAGAGAGTCCGTGACCATGTCATATGATGTTAATGGCGTAGGACCTCACAAGCAGAAAAAAAAATTGTGTAACAGCTTTAACGGTAGCGTCCCAGCAGTCATAGTGGGGGAAGCGGCAATGAAGGGAAGGGGACTGAGCAGCTCGTAGCACGTGGCACAGAGGTGCCAAGCCTACTGCGTAACTTCCGTATTTATTTTCTATTCCCGTTTGCAGTTTGTATGGATCACATGCCGTGAAAGCGGGAAATATGGACCACCCCTCTGAACTGCAAAAACTTCTTTTGTTGTGATTTTTAAGTTAATTTGCCGTAAAATGTGATACATATTGCTATTTATGTATTCTAGCAAACTTTTTTTAATTAAAAATGCTTTTAAACAAAAAAATGTTTTTTTAAATACATATTTCCTTCCTGCCGCCAATCCTTCCTTTTTTGGGGGCCACTGGCCAAATTTCCCGACGGGGCCAAATGACACCAGTTCGGCCCTGCATTAGTAAGTGTGTACTTAGTGGACAGTTAGGTTTGTAGTGTTGGTCAACCATTGCACCGTAGAGTGCGACTGACAACTTGGTGCTAAGTTAGCACCTCTAGGAGTGGTCTCTTTTAGCACTGCGACAGTGTGAAGCTCGCACCACTGGCAGCCTGCAACTTTTAAGTGGGCATTTAAGGGGCGAGAAACGTCATTTTCCGTCAAAAAATCAGATTTTCGTTAGTGAGTTTCTTGAATTCTTTGTGTCGAGCCCTTGAATTGGGTTGCTGGCGAAATTCAAAACCGTTTGGCCACAGGATGAATTTTGTAATTTATTTTCCACGCGATAGGTTAGACCGTTCAAACTTTGAAGCCATTTCGCTTAATGGCAATATTTTGGGTCTTGCGCGCACGATTTAAGCCAGACCGTTGATTATTTAGGCTTCATAATTTTTCCAATGTTTCATCTCCATAAGGCCGTTACTGTGAACTGGGATATCTTCAGTAGGACAAGCGGAAGTGGCCGAAAACAATTATTGAAATGTTTAAATTTCAAAACTTTTTTTGGGACACCTAAAAATGTAAGTTTCAGGCACTTAGGTACCACCTATTTCAATTATCCTAGTTCAATCTACAGTGCCAGGAGTCCTTTTGAAGGAGAAACAAAGACATCTATGATACGATGCTGCATTCTCTAAAAATCATGCGCGCGGTGAATTTTTGGCGTATTTTCGAGGTTTAGCAGAAAAATTACAGATCCTAGGTTATAAAGCCTAGAGTCAAACATTTTTTTTTTTCAAAATGAACCTCAGAGAACCAGCTTTTTATTGGAAAACCCCACTAACCTTCAAATTTATTGAAAAGAGTTTTCATGAAAGCCTGAAATTTGCTAAAATAACGGTGTCAAAGACGAATCTTCCCCCCTAAGATGGCTAAAAGCCGTGCTTCGCCCTTGTAAGTAGGCATAAAGTGCTACTCTACAAATCCAAAAGTGTACATTGTATGCTCTCCCTGGAGCATGCCTGCAAGCACGCTCTAGCTAGCGCATGCCTGCCAAGCATGCACTTACTAGTGCATACATGCCAAGTACACGCTTACTGAAGCATGCGTCTGGTGCATAAGGGATAGGGAGTGGTCTGCATCAGGAAGCGTGTACATGGCATGTATGCACTAGTAAGTGCATGCTTGGCAGGCATGCGCTAGGAAGAGCGTGCTTGTAGGCATGCTCCAGGTAGAGCGTACAATGCATGCTTTTGGATTTGTAGAGTACTTTGCCTCTCCCTAAGGTCGCCTCCGGATCCGCCACTGTATTCAAGGGTGTGCCCCTTCGGACAGCAGGGACAATGGCGCAATGAATGTTGGGAATGTTGGATTCAAAGGGCAAGGCGTTTATTCGTTGCATTCCCTCACGCCGGCGGCACGGACTGCTTCTTAGTGCCCCTTCTTCTTGGGCTTCTTCTGGCTGGTGCTGGCTGCTCCGCCGGAGCTGGGCTGGCCGCGCCGACCGTTGGGCGAGGGATCCCTGGCTGCCTCTCCCGTGGACCAAGTGCCAGTGGTCCTTTGGCCCGACTTCGGGTCGTGGGTGAAGTGGATCTCCATGCCGCTGTCCTTGACGGTCTTCCGCTCGGTGGGGCTGTTGGGTCTCTTGAACCATCCGTTGCCGGAGCGCTTCACCAAGAGGTGGGGCTGCTCCTCCTCGGCGTGGACCAGCACGGCCTGCGGAGCAAAACCGTCATCCACTTCACTGTTGTTCAACGAACGTGAACAGGAGGATTAAGGGGGCTCATACAAGTTAAAAGCACTTTTTTTAAAAAAATTTTGATGTAGACGGATTAAGATTTTACAATTTCTGTCTTAAAATCCTTTTAGATAATTGAGTAAGCTTCATTTTGGCTTAAGGGAAAGTGACTTCGGACATTTTTTGGAGATTTAGTCGAAACGTTTAAAATTTGGCTTCTCGTAAGATTTTTGTTCGCATACTTGCTCAGATCTGTGGGGGAAAAATCAGGGAGACTCATCCCCAGTAGTGTCATAGAATTGACTACAATGGGCTTTATATCTGCAATAGTTTTCAAAAAAAAAAATAAAAACAATTTTTTGTTGAAAAATTTGTTTAAAAAATTGTTAAAAAAATTGTTTTTATTTTTTTTCTTGAAAACTATTGCAGATATAAAGCCCATTGTAGTCAATTCTATGACACTACTGGGGATGAGTCTCCCTGATTTTTCCCCCACAGATCTGAGCAAGTATGCGAACAAAATCTTACGAGAAGCCAAATTTTAAACGTTTCGACTAAATCTCCAAAAAATGTCCGAAGTCACTTTCCCTTAAGCCAAAATGAAGCTTACTCAATTATCTAAAAGGATTTTAAGACAGAAATTGTAAAATCTTAATCCGTCTACATCAAAATTTTTTTTTAAAAAAGTGCTTTTAACTTGTATGAGCCCCCTTAAGAAAACTCGAGAACGAAACGTTCTTTGTTGTTGTTTTTAGGCACGAAGTAGCCTTATAGTATACCCAGGATTCAGCCGGCCCGAGATTTAATTTGTGTGGCCCTTTATGCATTTCGGAAATTTTCTATACGATTGTAATGAGACTTTGCAGACTTGTAGAACTTTATACGCTGATTCTCATGCTGAAGTCTGGTTAAAAAGTTAACGGCCAATTTTGAGAAATTTGCTGTCAAAATCGCCGTTTCCATGGCAAAACTCGACTCGTCAAAGGAAAAAAAAGAGAGTGGGGGGGAGTCCGAGCCGGGGCGGACCAATAGCCGAGCTTCTTTTTGGGTCTGTACAGCTTACTTCAAAAGCTGAAATAGCACGTTCGAAATGAAAAATTTCTTTGACTGCAGGTAGACAAGATACAACAATAGAATTGGTGTCGGTTCGAACGCAGTTTTTCGGGTAGAACTATCCAATAATACTTCTTGATCGGAGTGTTTTTGGACATGCGCAGTAGGTTTGCAACCTGTTGGACAGTTTAACCAACTGTAGCATTTGAAAATCTGTATTAATTTTGCTCTCTTTTTTGTTTTTCTTTGTTTCCTGCTTATGAAAATTCATATAAAACAAATTTTCAATTTTTATGTGATGACTTTGTAAAAAAAATTTAACAGAAAAATAGCAAAACAAAAGTTTTTTTTTGCTGGGGTGACCCTAAGAACCGCCCGGTGGCAGCAAATCCGATCCGAGCCCCGGGGGCGCTGCTGCAGGTGCATCATGGTCTACATGGGGTCAAGGAGGATTTCGGCAACGGATACAGCTAGGAGGGCATGTAGGGGTATTTTTGGAATCGGGGCGACGAGACAAAACCAACGGTGCCAGTTTCAAGCGAATCGGAGAAGTTTGGACCCGGGTTCAAATCCCAGTGGGGTATATTTTGAACATTCTTTTTATTCGAGTTTTTGCATTGTTTCTAATGTTTTTGAGGGCGCTGATGACGAAAATAACATCTATTTTGACCCCAGACTCAGGTTCAAACCCGTCAGGGTTGAACAAATGCGAAATTCGCACATTTGTTAATGTACGGGACGGGCCAAAGTTGCCGATGTATATCGCTACTTTTCCTGTTATTTGATACCGGTTCCACTGGTTCCTCAAAGAAACACACTGCCTTTTGGATGGCACGTTATTTACGGGACGAAACATTACTGCCCATTAAGTGCTCCGAATTCTTTGTTTCGGACCCGTAATCGGTGGTAATGCACTGTACCGCCAATAATTGTAAATTTGTCGCGTAAACAAGCGGCAATCTTTGCACCGCTTTCAAATATCGATAATCATTTTTCCGCTTCCACGGCAAAAGCATAACGTGGGATTCCCAGGCGACTTCTAGAAAATAAACCCATTTTTCCAGGGTCGTGGGGGAAACTGCGATCGAAATGGTTCAAAGCGCGTATCGTAAGCTCGGGATCATGTGACACATGCGGCGAAGATTCTTGCAAGCGTTCCCAAGCATTGGGATCACCTGTATGACCGGTAACCCCTGTGGACTCACCGCGAGGCACGCCAGCGCGAAGACTGAGAGCAGTTGGAAGTTCATGGTGCAGTATGCCGTCTGAGGTTCAGTCGTTCCTTTTATACGGGATCAGGGCACGCTTCGGGACGGACTCGTGCAGCACGATGACGCCTTCCGAGGAGGTAAACAAGAAAAAGAGTCACGAGTTTTCGGTAAAAGCGCTGCTGACTAGCGGAATCGACTATCTTTATGAACTCAATTTACTGGTGGCCAACGAATGTCACGTCCCTAAAGTCACGTTTTTTTTTGCGCGTGAAAACTACGATGTTAGCTGCGACAAACATAAAAATTACGAGCAAACGAATGCAAAACTCCATACTGCTGTGCCACATTACTTTGGGTTTGGCACGAACGGTGTCATACCCAACGGTGTCTAGAGATGTGGGTCATTCTACAGAAATGTTACAATTTGATGTCCCTGCCCCTTTGTGACGAAACGGTTCGTCCTAGGAAGACGCGGTTTGCGCAATGAGATGGTGATTTTTGTCCTTCAAAATGATCCACTATTGAGCGATTCTCACGTTTCAGCATTAAAACTGCCCCTCCATTGTTGCTGTGGTTGGATTGTTTGGCATGCTTTTAAAGGCTGCAGTTGTCTTGTCATGTTTTCCTTAATTCTGTAGAACAGTTCTTACTCACAACGTAAAAACAGCACGATGGTTGGTTTGACAAACTTTATAAACTCGGGAGGGGTGATTTCGGAACGCGGGAGACTTTCGTTTAGCGAACATGAGCACAGTAAGCAACTGTAAGTCGCGAGATGGAGGGAGGTGGTCATGATGTTAACTGAATCAGGTTTGACCAGAACTATTTTCTATTGGTTAGTTTGAATTTAGCGCATGCGCACTTTGAAATTTTTGGATTTTCTCATCATTGAACAGTTGTCACTGGCACGGTCCAATACATGGCTATTTCAAAATAGCCAAATGTGAAAATGGGAACACCTTGCAATGCGATTAGCATTGGAATTTTTTTTCTTTGACGAGTCGAGTTTTGCCATGGAAACGGCGATTTTGACAGCAAATTTCTCAAAATTGGTCGTTTACTTTTTAACCACATTTCATCATCAGAATCAGCGTTCAAAGTTCTACTAGTCTGCAAAATCTCATTAAAATCCTATAGAAAATTTCCAAAATGCATAAAGGGCAACACGAATTGAATCTCCCGCCAGCTGAACCCTCGGTATACTATAGGGCTACTTCGTGCCTAACTAGTTACAGAATTCGAAAGGGGAGGTCAGGATCTAGGTCAAGAGGTATGCGCGAAACATGTGTGACAAAATTTTAGCGTTAAAATCGGATGTTGAAAGGTGTCCAATTTTTGACGCCAACGTTAAAACTAAAATTTATAAAAAAAAAAAACACGAGAAAACGTACACTTTGCGTGGGTCTACGCGACGCTGCGTTCCTTCCGTCGGCTCTTAAAGATTCTTTATAAATTTTGTGAGACGGAACAATAGCTGTACCGGCTAGACAAAGGTCTTAAGGGGGCAGTAGCGTCATTTGCACGTGTTTTGACGATTTTCGAACCTCCTGTTTAGACGTTAATATAAAGATAAGTATGAATGCCAGAGACAAACGGCAGGCACCATTTGAAAGATAAAAGTTTTACAACATTTTTAAAAAAAAAAATTTTTTTAGCATTGAATTGGATGTTTTGTGTTCTATGCAAAAAAGGTCTGTAAAATTACATGGTGTCACTGCGCGCACGATTGCAGCCAAAGTTTTTTAATTTTACCAATCGGTAAAATGCATCTGAAAAAGCATGAAATTGCCCATAAAATGACCCTTCGGTTTCAATATTGGGCAAGAAAAAAATATTGAAACGCTCATCTTCAACTTTAAAATGGAAAAGAACCACATTTTTTCTGGCCCAAAATTAAAACCCAAGGGTCATTTTATGGGCAATTTCATGCTTTTTCAGATGCATTTTAACCCATTGGTAAAAAGTTTAAAAAAAATTTGGCTGCAATCGTGCGCGCAGGGGAAACCATGTAATTTTGCAGACCATTTTTGCATAGAACACAAAACATCCTAATTCAATGCTAAAAAAAATATTTTTTTTTGAAAATGTTGTAAAAACTTTATCTTTCAAATGGTGCCTGCCGTTTGCCTCTGGCATTCATACTTATCTTTATATTTAAAGTTGAACAGGAGGTTCGAAAATCGTCCCAAAAAACTTGCAAAAGACGCTACTGCCCCCTTAAAAGGTATTTTCGTGAAAACCCAATTTCACATTTTTTGGCCGAAAACGGCCAATTTTTTCAGTATAGTCCCCCCTTAAGTTGAGCACCTAGTTCAATCTACAATGCCAGGAGTCCTTTCGAAGGAGTAACGAAGACATTTATGATATGATGCCGCATTCTCTAAAAATCATGCGCAGAAAGATTACAGATCCTAGGTTATGAGGCCTAGAAGCCTGGAATATTTTTTTTTTTATGAACATCAAAGAACCAGTTTTTTATTGGGAAACCCCACTTCCCTTTAAATTTATTGGAAAGAGTTTTTATGAAAGCCTGAAATTTGCTAAAATTACGGTGTCAAGGACGAATCTCCCCCGGCTAAAAGCCGTGCTTCGCCCCTGTAAGTAGGCAAAAAGTGCTACTGTGACTCCCAAAGGTCGCCTCCGGATCCGCCACAGTATTCAAGGGTGAACCATATTTCGGACAGCAGGGACATGGGCGCAATGAATGTTGGGAATGTTGGATTCAAAGGGCAAGGCGTTTATTCGTTGCATTCCCTCACGCCGGCGGCACGGACTGCTTCTTAGTGCCCCTTCTTCTTGGGCTTCTTCTGGCTGGTGCTGGCTGCTCCGCCGGTGCTGGGCTGGCCGCGCCGACCGTTGGGCGAGGGATCCCTGGCTGCCTCTCCCGTGGACCAAGTGCCAGTGGTCCTTTGGCCCGACTTCGGGTCGTGGGTGAAGTGGATCTCCATGCCGCTGTCCTTGACGGTCTTCCGCTCGGTGGGGCTGTTGGGTCTCTTGAACCATCCGTTGCCGGAGCGCTTCACCAAGAGGTGGGGCTGCTCCTCCTCGGCGTGGACCAGCACGGCCTGCGGAGCAAAACCGTCATCCACTTCACTGTTGTTCAACGAACGTGAACAGGAGGATTAAGAAAACTCGAGAACGAAACGTTCTTTGTTGTTGTTTTTTTTTTCGTGGCGGGTACATTTTGTTGGATTAAGGATTTTCTGAGCTAGTCTGCCACGAAGGGATGAACACTCGCGTAATACCCTGTACACAAAAACCGTGTAATACACGTGCCCGTAATGCCATTTTAGGTCTAAATGTGTCAAATTTCGGCATTTGAAGGCGGTAATTCACGTAGGCCTTAAACCAGCGTAATCACTGCAAATTAGCGGCAGGACTTCGTGCTAATATACGGCGGGAGCTTTGGTCAGACCTGAAAGTTTCGCCAAAATTTGGTCAGACAACAAAGTCTTACCACGAAATGGTCAAACACTAAAGTCTGACCACAAAATGGCGAGACTTTTGTGTCTGATCACGGCCCTTAGACCGGGACCGTCCGTCGTTTACAACCTCCAGGCCATGGTCAGACACAAAAGTCTCGCCATTTTGTGGTCAGACTTTTGTGTCTGACCATATTTTGGCGAGACTCTCAGGTCTGACCAAAACTTGACGAGACACGTATGTCTCGCGAGAAGTCTTGCCTTCAGATTTGTAGTGGTATTACGTAAACCACCTGGTTTGTACACTATTTCTTTAAATGGTTTCCCCCTCAGTCTGCCATCTTCGAACGCCCCACTAAAACTTGATACTCCTTTTCATACTTTATTCAAACTAAACAAGAACTTAACTCTTTCAAATTGTTTTGCAAAAATTTCATTTTTTGCAGGTTTTTATCTGCTTTCCAACCCTCTCTTTTCCGGGTTTAGGTTATCTCAAACAATTTTGGAGAACATAGGCGAACTTATAAGCGATTTCGGCCGACATCAGTAGCGATATCCTGCGAGAGAACTGGGTCCCAGTCATTTCTCAGTAGGGATCGAGAAGGTCATCATCCATGTAGCCTTAGTTTCACTAGGTTCGGGGGCTGTCGCTTTTTTGACACCGGTTCCACTGGCTCCTCAAAGAAACACACTGCCTTTTGGATGGCACGTTATTTACGGGACGAAACATTACTGCCGATTACGTGCTCCGAATTCTTTGTTTCGGACCCGTAATCGGTGGTAATGCACTGTACCGCCAATAATTGTAAATTTGTCGCTTAACAAGCGGTAATCTTTGTGGACTCACCGCGAGGCACGCCAGCGCGAAGACTGAGAGCAGTTGGAAGTTCATGGTGCAGTGTGCCGTCTGAGGTTCAGTCTTTCCTTTTATACGGGATCAGGGCACGCTTCGGGACGGACTCGTGCAGCGCGATGACGCCTTCCGAGGAGGTAAACAAGAAAAAGAGTCACGAGTTTTCGGTAAAAGCACTGCTGACTAGCAGAATCGACTATCTTTATGAACTCAATTTACTGGTGGCCAACGAATGTAACGTCCCTACACTCTCAATCTTCTATAGATTTTTTATTCTATATTATGAAAATTTTTTTCTGTGGCTTAGTGATTTTAGAGCGTAACTATAATATAGTAAAAAATCACGGTATTTTGCTGAAAAAAATCTCTGTGAGCTGCAGATAATTTCATGAAGGAAAATACAGTATTACAGACAAATATTTACTGCAGCAATAGTAATTTAATATCATCAGTGGACAGATACGAGAAAAAATGTCAATGACAACAGAATATATTGTCTGTGCATACAGTAAAACTATTCTACAACAACAGTGAAAATTCTTTGTGATGCACAGAAAAGTTAGTCTGTAAGTCTACAGAAAAATATTTTTGGAATTGTTTGGGAACTTCGATAGTGCTAAAATGGGTTCAATAACTTCTTTATTTCCCATCCAAACCTATGTCATGCCTTGACATTTTTTGTTCGCCTTGTCAATACAAATCAATTGCTGCAAATAAATGCCCATTTAGGCCACTTAAATTAACTCATTAATCTTTTACCGTGGTACACGCAGTATAATTTCACTATAAGTACCACATTACTTTTCCCATAATCTACAGTAAAAAATACTATATTCATGAAAAATGTTTACTGCATTCACACAGTTATTT